CCACAAAGCCCTTAGCATTTAGCAACACTGATGTTTTAGGTCCACTGGATTTAAAAAAAAAAAAATGCCTTCTGAAAATAGCACCTGAAGCCCACACTTAGACTTTAGTCTCTGGCCCCTATAAGCCTCCCGTGACAGACAGATGCTAGGAAGGGACTCCGTTCCACTGGGTGTGGCCCATACCAAATGAATGGTCACACCTGCAAGCACAACGGACCTCCCTTGCTGCGGAATGCTTTAATCACTATTGGTTTTTATTCTTTATTGATCTCTGTGGTGCCCTCCAGCTATCCTGGGGAGAACTGAGATGTTGCGGTTAAGATGTTGGCTGGATGGTGGCATCCGGACTGTGTTTGCGTATGTGCTTAAACATATCCACACACTGAAAAGCCAGTATGCGGTGATAGGGTGTGTGTAACCAGAAACCTTCAGAATTAAAATTTTAAAGATCTCAATGTTCTGAATCAAATATGAGATATTCCCATGGGAAGGGTGTATACATAATCAGAAACCCTGAGAGTTAAAACACGACTACTTTCAAATTAAGGCATCTTAAGGTTCTAGTGTTTTTTTCTTTAATTTTTTTATTAATTACAGTTTATTCACTTTGTATCCCAGCTGTATCCCCTCCCTCTTCACCTCCCATCTCTCTCCCCAAATCCACTGATTGATAGGGTAGTCCTTCTCCCCTTCCCTCTAGCATTTTGCACTCACTAGTGTTTTCCCTGCATGTATGTCTGGGTGAGGTTGTCAAATTCTCTGGAACTGGAGTGTGAGCCGCCACATGGGTGCTGGGAATTGAACCCAGGTCTTCTGGAAGAGCAGTCAGTGCTCTTAACCACTGAGCATCTCTCCAGCCACCTAATTTGTTTGGCTTTTTGTTTGTTTGTCTGTATTTATGAGCATAAAGTTGGGTGGATGGGGAAGAGAGCATGGATCTAGGAAGAGATGATTGGGGTGAATGTGACTAAAATACACTGCACCAAATTCTCAAAGAACTGATAAAATAAAAATAGCAAATGCCACCGGTACTAGGGATGGGTCTCAGCCATTAGCTTGTCCTCGTGTGCATGAAACCCTGTCTTCAATCTCTAGTGCTACATGAACCCAGGGGTGACGAACAGTGTAATCCTCTCACTCAGAGGGTGGAAACAGGAGGTTCAGAAGTCCAAAGCTATCCTCGGCTACATAAAGAGCTAGAAGTCATCCTGGGATACATATCCTGTCTCAGTGTGTGTGTGTGTGTGTGTGTGTGTGTGTGTGTGTGTGTGTGTGTG